TGAAAAAGATTTAGCGTAAAAGCAGCGTTTTTTAATTTTTTTTTTAGTTCTTTGTCTCTGTAAAAAATAAAAAATAAAAAAAAATCGTGTTACTGCTAACGGGTACTATTCACACCCGAAAAATTCAATTTTAGCATTTTTAGCTAAAAAAAAAAAAAGAGTTATTGTTCACAAGTGCTGTTCACCCATAGAAAAAAATTTCAATTTTAGTATTTTTCGTCATTTTCCGCCAAAAAAAAAAATTATTTAGTATTGGTTTATACTACTACATTTTAAAAATTGCATTAATTAAAAATTTGTGTTGCTGTTACCTTGACAGTATTAGCCTTAACCACACTTTATCAGAATCATTGAATGACTTAACTTCCATTGGTTCCCTACTTACCTCGCGTGAGGTTTTGATTCATCATTTGTCGAATTGCTTTTAACCCCTAAATCTATTTCAAGTGATAAAGTCTTTTAACTAGTGTTTAACCCTTGCTTTGCTATTTTACATGTATCAACAAATTTAGTTTGCAATATTTGGATTTGCTTAATCCTCCAAATTTAAAATTAAAAAAAAAATAAAAATGGTTCAAGTTATTTTCCATTATTTGCACTTATTGTTCATTGATCTCTCTGTTGCACATCATTTAGCTACTAATATAGTGCATTCATAGTGGTTGACTGATCGTCTTGTCACTTCTAGTTTCTATACCTAAACATGGACCATTCACAATTTGATGCACTCACCCAACAAATAGCGGCTATCCAAACCCAAATGACTGCTACTCTTGAAGAGAGTAAGGTCCTCTCTGCTAATTTGAACAATTTTGAGCAAATCCCTCATTCGGTCGACGTTGATAATTCTGAAGTATCCCATCGTAGACATTATTGTCATTGACGAGGAGATCGAAAATATTTTAGATACGATCGTAGTGATAGGGAACAAATTTGTCGACAAGAACGAGCTTATAACCGTCACGGTACTCATTCTATTCCTCATCATAAGGAGAGTTTCTTTAGGGACACTAAATTACACACTTCAACTTTTGATAGTTGCTTAGATTTTGAAGTTTTTACTCAATGGACTGCTCTTAAATAAGGGAATCGGTTAGTGACTAACTATATTGCACAATTTGAGGAATTTCGAACCAAATGTCATGTCATTGAGGATGAGACCACGACTTTGAGTAGGTTTAGCTAAGGTCTAAGATATGATCTTAGGCGTGAACTTTTCTTTCGAGGTGTCACTACTCTTGATCACGCTTGTTCTTTAGCTAGAGATTATGAGTTGACCATTAGTACTCTTTATGAAAAGCGCGATCACCATCATTCACCCATGTCATTAGCGCCATCTCGTCATTAGTCTATCATAGAGCCTTCCTCGTTTAATGTTCCTCCCATTTGGGAAAATAAGTGTAAAGGTCATAATATCCCAAGATCTTCTTCTTCATATCGAAGGCGTAGTGACATTCCTCCTTTCATCTCATCAACACCACCTTTTCCTATTAAGTCTTTTCTAGGTCCTCCCCCATCTAATGCTTCTCTTCCGTTGGAAAATAAAGGTCAAGATTTTGAAACTTCAATAACTTCTTCTCATTTGCAGTGCTTCAACTATAAAGACTTTGGCCACATTTCTTCTGAATGTTTTAATAGAGCCTTATTCATTGAAGAACAAAAGAATATGAGCGATGAGAGATTAGAAAATCAAATCTATGAACCTAAACTTCAAGAATTTGATGAATTGGATGACAGTGAGGACACCACCTTATATAGTATTCGGACTTTTCATATGAGTCTAGGTATTGTACCCCTTGTTCCCAATACCTCTCAGTCAAATGTCGTGTGTCCTACTCTTATCCCACCCAAAAGTATTGATGATTTGTGTAATCATGCTCTTTGCAAGGAAACTCTAGAAAATTGGAATTTGATCATTCCAACTGTTCAAATTGCATATAACAATTCTGTAAATCAGTCTTTAGGTCTGAATCCATTTGAAGTTGTTCATAGTTATAAGTCTAGGCGACTGTTATATTTTATTCCCATATCCCGCATACTAGTGTGTCGTTGTCAGCTGAAACATTTGTATATCATTTTCATGACTTACATATTGAGATCAATAAACAACATGACGCAAGTAATACATTATATAAATTTCAAGCTGATTCATATAAACGATATTTTGAATTTAATATTGGGGATTATGTTATATTGCAAGCTTGTAGTGCTGGTCCTTTAAAAATTTTAAAGTATGTTGGTTCAAATGCACATGTCATTGCCCTTTCATCACATTTTGGCTACCACTCTGCTTTAAATATTGAGGACTTCATTACTTACAAACACCGTGTTACTTCCTTTGATAATCTATTTCTACTTAGCTTTATGGACCCCCAACTTGACTATGTTGATATTTCTACTTCAATACCATCTATCACAGCACACAAAGATAAAATTGATATTATTTTAGATGAACGTGTTGTATTGACCAATGATGGCAAGATTTAGTACTTTCTTGTTTGTTGGGTAGATCGACGTGCTTCTTATGCTCCTCATTATATACAATCATGTGAAAATCTTGAAGATGAGGTGCATGAATATTGGTTATTTGGAGTCCAGTATAAGTACATGGTTAGAAGGAAAGATCGCCCCCCTTGGTCAGATCATATTCTTGGGAATAAGCTACAGTTTTTAGTACTATCAATTATGGAATTTCGTTACTTGGTTTGTCAGAAAGATCGTCCCCCGTGGCTTGACGCATTTGGAGTATCAAATTGAATGCAGCCTATACTATCTATCAACTCGACATGGTCGAGTTTTTCTCCCACCCCGGGAGAGTTGATGATGACATCTATTTTTTATTTATTTTTAGTTCGACTTTATTTATGTTTTAGATTTTATTTATGTAATTGGGCTTGTGTTGGCCCAAGTCCATTCTACTTAGGGTTTTAATCTTTACTATTTAAACCTATTTGCGATGTAATTTTATTAGTTTTAATGAGTTGAAGAATATTTTTGTGGTTTGTTGCCTATGACTTCTCCTTCCTCTCCCCTCTCCTCTCCCCCATGAATTTCTGCTTCTTCTCCGGTTTCTCCCCTCTTTCTTGCTTCTTCTTTCTATTTTTTAATTTGTCCTACATCAGAAACTGATCCTCTTGAGGTAAAATTATTGATCTTGTTCTCGAATGAGAAAATACTGATGTGTTTATTGTATTTTTTCTCTTATTCTTCCTGTTAATTTGCCTTTTTCTACTTTCTTTGAGACCTTTGATTTTGAAATTAGAAGCTGTGTAACTGAATGGATTGTTGCACATGTTTTTCTTTCTCTGCTTCTTGGTAAGTAGCAATTAATCTAGGGGAAGGGCTTGAAAATCCAACATCATGGTTAAGCCCATATTCTCTAACCAAGCTACTCTGGCTCCTTGTTTGGTGTTTTTTGCCCACCCTTCAAATGTGATTTAGGTTCTGTTGACTGCCTTTGTTTTTAAGTCATAAATACTATATATTTCAATTTGAACCTTCAAAATGAGCCAGTGCTATAGGATGTTGAAAGACAATGTTATCACTTTCTAATGGAGCAGACAAATATATGCATGTATGAGAGAGTAGAAAATTGATGATAAAGATAACGTCATTCCAATTACTGGAAATTAACTAAACTAGATAACTCTTTTTCACTGTATGTAAATCTTCAAACGCCTTGGTCTTATAGTTCTCTACTAGGAAGTTCTGACGTCCGTGGAGCCAGCAGGCAGGTGTCCAATACGTGTTGGCACCTACATTTGGTATGTCCCCCTTTTTCTGTTTTCGTGTATCTGTTATGGATAAAGGTGGTGGTGGTGTCCATGCGCAATCAACGTGATTGCATTTGTGAAGGTCGTGTTTGAACTATGACCATTGAAGGGGTGGATTGGCGTGGCGATGGATGGGTGAGGAAATTGAAATTTTACTTTTTATTTTTTATTTTTTTTAGTTTTGTATTAATATATATATATTTAATTATTTTAAGTGAAATTTATTTGTACTTTTGAAAAGTTAAAGGGCTTCTTTTGTAACTTCCATTTATTTATTTTGTTGTTTTATTGTTTTCTTTTATTTTTGTTTACTTAAAGAGGAGGGTAAGTCCATCATTTAATAGACAACATGGAAGAAATGACAAGTTTGCTATATAATTGAAAAGTCGGGGTTATATTATGCTAAAAAGGATAAATGATATAATTGTTACATTTCGCAAAGATTGAGGGTGAAAAGCATAAATTTCCCATTTTTAGTTTGTACATATAGCCCAATGATATAGATCTACCTTTTTAATTTCTATAATTTATTTTGGATTATGTACAATAGACATAGACATCGCAAAATTAAAAATATAGGTATGTATATTGTTGACTTCAAATTCTTGTAGGATCTTTCAATGATTACTGATGCTATCAAAAATTTACACATGTTGACTCTCGAGCTCTGGAGATGAGTACAAACAGAATCTCTACAATTGAGAACAAGCACTAACAGAATTTCTAGTATATGAAATAATGGTATCAAGTTGTGTCATCATTGTCTTGATGCTTAAGTTAGCAAGAACGAAAGTTATGCGAAAGGCAATAAGTTAAAGTATGTAAAAGCGTACTTGGATAATGAGCAAAAGTCCTGTATTTATAGAGGTAGAAGTGCAATCTTAGTAGGATTGAGTCACTTAGATACCTTAACTTGTCTAATAGTCCTGGAAGATGCTACAGTTTTGTGAGAGATGAACACTAGAGTTCAACCCGAATTTCGAGACCCAAGTGTTCCGATAATGTTGAAATTGTAGAGGTAGAGTCAATCTAGGACAAGGAACTAGTGATGGCAAAAAAATCAGCCTCGCCCCATCCTGAATGGATTGGCTAGGCAGGGCAGGGCCCGTAAAGGAAAAAAATATATAAAAAATTAAAAATAATTTTATTTTTAGACAATTCATCCGTTAAAAATCCATTTTGAATTTGTATTTTTAGGCCTTAAAGTAAACTCGGGCTTTCCTTCGATCAAAGGGGCCACAAGTTGAGATTGAGGATATGAAGATGATTACTCGAGTTGTACTCGAGGAGCTCTCTGAGACGAAGGAAGCAACTGAAGGTGACGATGAAAATGGTCTGGAGGATTTTGGCAGGCCCTCGAGCCCTATAGTATATGCTATTACCTCAATCCCATTTTATGTAATAAACAACTATTTTTGGAGTAATTTTAAATATTGGAAGCTCTTTGCAATACTTGTTTTGAGCTTCATCTTTCTCATTCGTTGTTGTTGTCTGAAAAGTTGCATGGCCTTTAGTTTGGATCTCAACGTTGTGTAGTATAAACAAACCAATGTAAGAATCTCGACATACGAGGTCGTAAATTTATTTTAGAACTCCGGTATTACGTAATGTATAAATATCAACCTTAAAAGTCAATCTCTCAATTAAAACTGTCAAGCACTGATTGTTTTGGAATAGGCCGACTATTATTCCATCTTGAATGTTTTTGGAAATTTCATTTGAGGTTATGGTGACGAACCCCGAATCGAAGGGCGTAAGAGGTGGCCGTAGTTGACCTGAAGACCTTCGCACCACCCATATCAAGAGCGAGACGAAGAGCTCGAGCATCAGTCATAAAATCTGTTAGCATAGTAACTGAATCAATGCAACAACTTGTTGACAGAGAGATCTTCGAATGCCATCGAAGTAATAGTTGCACTTCTGGTGACCTAGCTAGTAGATCCTGGGATCTTCGATAGAGGGTTGAACTAGAGCGGATGAGCTTGCTGGAAGAGGTCCTGAATGTATATTTACCATGACTTTTGGTAGTGTTTCCCATAGACGAAGTCATTGATGCTACCAAAAATTTGCACCTATTGATTTATGAGCTCAAATACTGAGGATGAACACGAACAAAACCTCCATGATTGATAACAAGCATGAACTAAAAATTTTGGTACTTGAAAAAAAGGCGTCGAGCTGTGTCCTGTTTGTCCCGATGCTTAAGTTAACGAGAAGTAAATTTATGCAAAAGGCTATAAGCTAAAGTATATAAAATCGTACCTGGATAATGAGCAAAAGCCTTGTATTTATAGAGGTAGAAGTATAATCCTAGTAGGATTTAGTCACTTAGATATTTATTTTGTCTTAGAGTCCTTGAAGATGCTAGAGTATTGTGAGAGGTGAACACTGAACTTCTGTTGTAACTTAAGAATAAAAGTTTTAACATGTCAAATTAAAACCTTTTAATTTTCATTTTAGCATAAAATTAAAACACTATAAGATACATTTTAACTTATATTTTAATGGTTTAATTGTGGGGATGATATTCACTTATAAAAGGTGGTTATATCTCATTGAAAAATAGAACTACAATACAGCAACTTAAAATATTATTCTCTCTACAATTTTATACTATATTATTTTGGCAATTCGATAAGAGACTCGTTCGGTTATTTTCCTATGGTTGTGAGCACAGAAGGAAAATCGATTGTGAGACATGTAGATTTTATCTTGGAGCAGTGTAGTGTCAAAAGTAGCCGCACAAAAGAGAGGCAATACGAATTTAGGACAGCGTCTTCGACGCGACCCCAAGGCTTGCATTCTAACTCTTTTCTTATTGTTGATTTATAATATTATAATATTATTATGTTTATGTAATTATTGAATTATGTTATTTATATTTATTAGTTGATACACACACATAAAAATCACTTATTTTTCCCAACAATCTAAAATCATGTTGGCGTAGTTTGTGTATAGAAGTTAGTGTATAAATTTCAAAGTGAATGAATTGTCCAACTGTTGAATTTAACAGCATTTTTAAATCTCACTCCAACGTGCATTTTTCATTAGCAATCTTGTAGCCTTCTTGGCTATTTGTTAGTATCTTGTGCCCAAATAAAAGTTAGTATCTTTCCTTCCTTTTGAATTATAGTATTAATTTTGGTGAGATTAACACTAGAATTGAGGATTCTACGCTATATCTGCCGTAAAGCATTTATAAAGCATTCATGTTCTAAAACCGTTGAGTAGTGCTGAGCTTTAAACTTTATTTGAAATTGAGATTAAATGTCATAAACAACTTAAATTGTATATTGAATTTTGTCCAAATTTGTCTTATTATAAATTGAATCTAAATTTTGCTTAACAATAACTAGAATTGATGAAGATATTGTTGTAATATATATTTTGATAAGTTTTAAATTTTAAAATTAATACATTTTTTAATTTTCAGGCTTATTTTCAATTTCAGATTTAATATAAAACTAAAATATCATTATATTAGATGTAACCTCTTTTTAATGAATTAATTTTCATTGTGGTGGGGTGTTGAACTTTTACACTGTAAAAGGGACATGAAATTTCAAATTTTTTACGTTTAATAAAATTTCTCCAAATAATTATCATTTTCCCACTTCTGCCTTCGCCTTTGCATGCATATTAATTTGTAAGGTAACTTCTATTTACTTGAAGATACTAAATAGTTGTGTGTGCATGTACGTGTATAAATCGATACTTATCTAAATGGGTTCATATTGATAAATATAAGATTATGATTGATTTTATGAGTTTGATGTTTGATCACGAAGCATGTACAGAACTGAGAAATATGAATCCTAGAAAACAAGAAATGTACATCATGATTACTTAAGAAATTAGGCTTAGAAAGGTTAAGGACTTTTGGCACATTAAAATATTTGTATAAATGATATGTCCTTTTTATGATGTGTTTTAAGACCTTATTTGATTACTTGTAGTGGCAGAAAATGTGATTTAGGTTGTCGGTATATTCGTTGACAAGAACACGCTGCTTATTTTGGTGCTATATTTTAAAATTGAAATGTAATTTAAAGATATGATGCATGTATTTGTGTTGTATGCTAAAATTTGTGTTTTAAAAGATATGTATGTATTGAGATGGAAATAGGAGATTAAACTCTTTCAGACATGTGAAAATTTAGCCTTCTGAATTTAACTTGTATTATTGTTTGTTTTGTTCTCCAGAGCAAGAGAAAAATGTCAAGAGAAAGAGGTCGAAGAATGAATTGGAATAATTGGTACTTTTGTTTTGATATATGTTTAATATGAGCTTGTATTCTTTTGAGTCAAATAGTTTATTGGCAACAAAACAAATTTTATTTACCCATATTTAGATGTGGAAAGATAACTTTATTTGAAAAAAAGGCATGTTCGATGAGATGAAAAAAGTTAAAAGCTAACAAATAAATTTAAGTAACAATTTAAACTTATATAATGAAGATTTAATTGTCAATTTAAGTCTTTAAAATAGGTTCACAAAATTCTTTGTATGGCATGTTTCTTTTTCCTAGCAAGACATAGTGCAAGTTCTTAAATCTTAGGAGGCAGAATGTAAATTTGATTTACGGTATTGTTTATCTTATTCGTGATTAGATGTACTGTTGATCACAGGCTCTGTATGTTTCTTAAGTCCATTGATTTAATTTTGGTGATTTTATCTTGTGATATCATTAGATTTTATTTAAATTCTAATGTTATTATTATTGCTAAATACAACTTTATATGTTTCTATCTAATTTATGTGATGGTGATTTATACTTTATAACCGACGGAATATATACGTTTCTATGTGGAATTGGACAACTACTTCGGTAGGTATTCTTTATATAATCAATTATTTAGTATATTATGCAGACATTGGAAGAGATATATTTAGCCTTATAAACCACTTGTTTATGTATTTATTAATTACTGTTATGGAATAGAAATGAGGAAATGTGGGATTAACAAACATATGCATCATTTTTAATCTGTCAAAAGAGAAAAACATAACGGTTGATGGATTTCAACAAAGCACATTATAGATGGCTTAAATATGAGGGTCATCAAATGGAATTTATTATTATTTATATATACTCAATTTTGATCATCATCTAAATAGTTGATCATATTATATAGTTAACCAATTTTCTTTAAAATTACATTTGGATCTCAAAACTAATCCTTTTGCTAGTACTAGTGTGTATTTAAGAAATTTTTTTAGCGTATCTCTAAGATCCAGCATATCCTGGAGAAGTTAGAAGATTGGCAACATTATTTTGCTAGTGTGTGGCCATGTAGGACATTTTGGCTAGGAAAAGTGCATGTGTTTCCCATATTCAGATCATATTCATATAGATGACATGATGGAGAAACTATGGCCATGAAAATTAAGTTCCACAAAATGAATATCTTTGAAATGGGGAGATGTTTAAAATTTCAAATAAAAACATCATATATGTTATTATTATTATTTGTAAACTAACTCTTGAAACGTGTTAAAAGTTAAATTGTAGATTTGCAGGTGAAATGCAAGAGTTCAATGGATACATATGCCCAAACATGTTACTAAAGTCAAATTAAAAATTTCATGTATTTATTTGATTATATTTTGAAAATATTTGCAGATGTGTAGAAGTGCTGGGGAGTAATAAAAGCTTTGCAAATTGATAGCACCAAATTATTGCCCAAGAAGGATTTAATTTGTAATGGACATAATAAATCATCGAGGAGGATGAATTTAAAGCCCTAAGGGAGTTGCCTTCGGGAGTAACTCAACATTTGTGATTGGAGATTCCATAAAGAATGTTCAATATGGTAGAACATCCCACACTGCATGACTTGTAATAGCACTATTTTATTTATATTCATCCTTATGGAAGACTCACATATGTATGAGTTGCCACGAGGTCGTGGCTATGGGATTGAGCTATTTCCTAGATACTCTTACTAAATCAAGATTAGAGCGAATGACCATTAAAAGTGCTACCCTCTATGAAGTAGAGCCTAAATCGATATTTTGTGGAACAATTGAAGTTTGACCAAAGGGGCCTCATTTAAGATTAAGTCCATTATGACTTCCTCAAATGGAAATTGTTATCCCCCGTGTGGTCCCCATTAATTTTCATTATATTACATTCCATTTTTCTCTCATCTGTTTTCAACCGCACAATCTTACATGAAATAATATTACACGTAAATCAAAAACTTTTCCTTTTTTTCAATCACTCATTTTTTCAAAAAAAAAAAAAAATACTATTCCACTTATTTCATTTCCAAAGAAATAGGGGGCCAAATGGGGGCTAAGTTAGGTTCAAATCCAAAAGCCGCCTACACATATTACATAGTATAACGTTGTCGCTGTATATTATATTTATTTATTTATTTTGAAAGTTTAAAACTTGTAGGGTATTGTTGTAACTTAATAATTAAAGTTTTGACCTTTCAAATTAAAACCTTTTAATTTTCAATTTTAACATAAAATTAAAACACCATAATACATATTGTAACCTATATTTTAATGATATAAGTGTGGGGGTTGATATTCACCTATAAAAGTTGGTTATATTTCATTGAAAAAAGAACTAGAATACAACAACTTAAATTATTCTTCTCTATAATTTTATACTATACTATTTTGACAACTCGATGAGAAAATCGTTCACTTATCTCCCTATGATCATGTCTATATAAGGAGAATCGGTTGTAAGCTACATGAGTTTTATGTTGGAGCAGTGAACCGTCGACAATACCCATAAGAAAGGGAGACATTAGGACTTTAAGACAATATCTTCGATGTGACTCTCGAAGCTTGCATTCCAACACTCTTCTTACTGTTAAATTATAATGTTATCATATTATAATATTTATGTAATTATTGAATTATGTTATTTATATTAATTAGTTGATATGTGTATCTACACACAAATCACTCAGTTTTCCAAACAAGTTCATCTCAAATTGTGAGAGAAGAGTGTTTGGATAATGTTGAAATTGTAGAGGTAGAGTCAATCTAGGACAAAGAACTAAAGGAGGAGAGAAAGAGTGAGAGAGTGGATAAATGGAGCAATCACATGATTAATTTGTAAACTCGAGGTCCCAGGACCAACCTCGATAAATGGTTAGTGGCTGACTCCATGGAGGTCATGTTAACTGGTCCTCGAGATCGGTCAAAATGTGTCCAAGTAAGGAACGGTTTTTTCGATCGTCTGGACCTCAAGCATAGGTGAGCCTCGAGGATGTCGTGGGTGAAAAGTAAAACGAGGGGCCTTGAGTTCAGGATAAAGCTTTGACCAAAATTGTGATTATCATGTAGAAATGCCCACTTCTTTATGAAAACAAAATCCTGGCCACCTCAGATAGAAGGAGTGATCGTTTTCACTCCATCTAACAAGTTACAAACGTTTACACAATGCATTTTCATCTTACCTTGAAGCGGGATAATTTCAAAACCATGTCAATATCATTTGTGTGGTGATTGACATGTTATGTCATGTTCACTGTCACGACATAACCAGTCCATAATAAACTATCAATCTACAGCCCTGCTTCCTGGTTGAGGGCCCCTTTGTCTCCAACCTTGGCCATATGACTTTTTTCATCAATCTATGCTTAGCTAAGGCCAATGCCGTCGGTGGCTCAACATATATGAATACCCATTGTTTAGTCAACGTTGGTAAGCTTCTATCCGATTAAATGTCCCTCATATAAAGGGTAATTAGCATAAAAGGTCCCTACCTTTTTTTTGGATATTTTTGCCCTTATTTTAACGTTTCATTGCATAAAACATCCATTTTCTCCATTTTTCTAATATAAAATGATCAAAATAACCTCCCATTTAAATAAAACAAAAAAAAAGAAAAAATTACAATCTTACTCCTAAATGTTTTAAAAAATGCAAGTGAGTCCAAATAATTATTAAAAGGTTTAATAGTACAAAATATCCCTATGTTTGGCTTATAGTGTGTAAAACATTCATACGTTTCAAATTGGTGAAAAGAACATTTTTCGCAATGAAACGTGAAAATAGAGATGAAAAAACAAAAAAAAAATTGAAACGTATAAACATTTTTCGTAAGAAGTGTCAAACGTAAAGATTTTTTTACTATTAGGCCTTATTAAAATATAAAAATAAACAAAAAAAAAAAACTCTCTCCCTCTTCTCTTCTTCTTCAAATGGGTCAGCTACTTTAGAAGTCAAAAAACTCCAACAAACCACCATCCAAACTGCCAGGGGCGGAGCCAGGATTTATGTTCAGTGCGGGCATCATTTTTCGACGCCGAACTTCGAGATTTTGGTCATAGATTTAATGATGATAAAAAAATAAAACAATATTACAACAACACTAAAAATGACATAATTTATATATTAAACTTGTTCCTTGCGAGTTTTCATATTTTGATATCGTCGTACAATAACTTCATTATCGAGCTTCAAAAATATATCTCTCTCTACATAAACAATAGTGCTATTATTCATCCACTGATCACCCATCCGATTGCACAATCTATTCTTTACGATGCTCATTGCAGAAAAAACACTCTCCACAGTAGCGGTAGCAACTGGTAAAATCAATGCTAAAGTCAAAAGTCTGTAAACCAACGGATATACCTTATCTTTTTTTGTCAAAACTAACTTCTCCGCAAGATCACCAAGGCCATTCAACCCTTCAAACTCTTTGTTAGAGCATGTCAAAAATATAAGTCTCAAGTTGATCGCTAAGTACAATACCATCTACTGCAGAGAAATCTAATGGATAAAGCTCAACAAGTCTAATCAAATTTTTTTTGTCAAAAGAAGAAAATGAATCTTGTGGGCATAAACAAGCTAGACAAAGGAGTAACTCTGTATTTACCTCCGAGAAATGATCATTCAACTCTTGAAGTTGTAAGTCGATGACAGAGTAGAACAAATCTACTCGATAATGATGTAAATTTGTAATTTCTGGAGAATTATGCTGAGGGCGACCAGGAATTGCAAGGCGTACAAACATATCATCCATGTTGGGTACATAAAGATAATATTTTTGACAAAAAGAACATACTTCTTCCAAAAAGGAGTCCCACCCTTCGTCTCTCATTATTTGGAGTCGTCGTTTGCACAATCTTACCAATTGCATTGCATTCACAATATCTTGATCTTTTCTTTGCAATGCCTTTGACAGTTCATTTGAAATCCCCAACACACTTCTCATCAACTGTAGATTAAATGCAAAATTGAATCCTTGTATCAACTCCAATAAATTTGTTGCATTAGATCTTTGATCACAAGAACAAGACTCATCTTCAATAATTATTGCGAGTACATCCACAATAGAAGAGAAAATGGCAAGCAAGCTGACCAAAGAATTATAATGTGAACTCCATCGTGTATCACCAGAGCGCTGAAGGGTCGTTTCTTGATTAAGTCCCCGTCCACTTAAAATCTCACCTTTTTCCAATGCCTCAACAATAAAGTCTAATTGTTTTTCTCGAAGAAGATCACATCGTTTGGAAGATGCTCCAACAGTATTTATTACGTTCCCAACCACACCAAAGAAGTTAGTAATAGGGATGTTCTTCTTTGCCACAGCCACAAGCGCAAGTTGGAGTTGATGAGCAAAACAGTGAATGTAAAAAGCACATGGACTCTCATTCAAAATGAGTGTTTTCAGACCCTTAAACTTACCTTGCATATTACTTGCTCCATCATAACCTTGTCCTCTCAATCTAGACATACTCAAGTTATATCTAGAAAATACCTTATCAATTGCAGCCTTAAGTGATAGAGCCGCGGTACTTGTAACATGTTCAATCCCTATGAAGCGTTCATTGACACGCCCACTATTGTCTACATAACGTAAAACAATAGATATTTGCTCCTTCATTGACACATCACAAGATTCATCAACTAGAATAAAAAATAGCGAGTCACCAACATCTTTGATAATAACATTGATCATTTCAATAGCACAAGCATTTACTATATCCTTTTGAACATCAGGTGATGTCAATTTGCAATTGTGAGGAGCATTTCCCAATGTGATGGCATTGATAACTTCATTATGAGCAGCCAAAAATTGATATTGCACTAAGAAGTTACCTAGATTGAGAGAATCCTCAGATTCATCATGACCTCAAAATGAGTGCCCTTGTCGCAAAAGAACTCGAACACAATCAATGGATGCATTAAGGCGTGTAACATATGCATTTCTTGCTTGTTCTGACTGTTTGTAGAAAACTGATTGAATGTGTTGCTCTTGATTCATCAACACTTCACATTTAATGCGAGCTTGATTATGTGCACTATCATGAAGCCCAACATGAGTATGAAGCCTTTTTTTATCTTTCCAATATGTAAAACCTTCACCAACAAAAGACTCACCTCCACCTTGCTTTCCAAAACTTGTTTTGAAAAGATAACAATACAAACAATAAGCAGCATCCTTCTCTACACTGTACTCCAACCAACTACCGAACTCTTTAAACCACGAACGATTGAATCGTCTAATTGTTACTCCAAATTGTTGTTTTGGAAAGTTATGATCTTGGGGCTGACAAAGACCCTTTAACATATATGCTCTTCGAGCTTCATCTCGGATGTTAGCATTGTAATCCAAAATGGGTATCCTTAGACAAGGATCAGTTGGAAGTTTTGTGACATCAAACTCCACATCATTCGTTAACCCCTCATCAACATCCACATTATTCGATGCCCCCTCATCAACACTATCTACGTTCCTTTTTCATTGAAAGTATCTATTCATTTGATATCTGGATTTAAACATTTGATATCCAGTTATTACTTGAAGTGAGTGAGAATAATTCATAATAACAAAAAGATCATAAATTCACAATTTCACAATTTCAATTCACAAGTGCAATTCACATTTCACAATCCAATTCACAATTTCACATTATCAATCCAATTTCACAATATCAATTCACCTTCCAAATTGCAAATTCACAATGCAGTTTATACTATTTCACAATCTAATTCACAATTTCACATTATCAATCCAATTTCACAATATCAATTCACCTTCCAAATCGCAAATTCACAATGCAGTTTATACTATTTCACAATCTAATTCACAATTCACAATTTCACACTAGCAATCTTATTTCATAATATCAATTCACCTTCCAAATCGCAAATTCATAATGCAATTTATACTATTTCACAATCCAATTCACAATTTCACACTATCAATCCAATTTCACAATATCAATTCATCTTCCACATCACAAATTCACAATGCAATTTATAGTATTTCACAATTTCACACTATCAATCCAATTTCACAACATAAATTCACATACCAAGTTACTGACAGAGTGACTGAGTGAGAAACTGAGAATGACTGAATCAATGAGAATCTGCAAAATCGAAGAAATGAAAATTAGGTAGCAGGCAAAATCGAAGAAATGAAAAATTAGGCAGCAGACTTGCACCGGCAGACGACTCACAGCACTGCAGTTCAGTTGGAATTTGGAAGAACATCTAAATTCGAAATTAATTACCTTCTTTAGTCTTTACAGGCGGCAGCTGGTGCAGACCTGTAGTGACGCCTGGCAGACGGTGGTTTAGTTGCGGCCTGTAAAGAAGATGCACTTCACCGACTTCAATTTCGGCCTAATCTAGACAGCAGGGGTCGAGGGCGGAGCTTACACTTAGTTACAGGGAGCTAAGAGAAGGAGATTAAAGCCCCTAATCTATGAGATGCCGGCCACCGGTGACCGGTGCAGGGACGGAGACGGGCGGAGCTTCGACTTTGAGAGGCATCGCAGGCGAGAGACTAGTATGGAGAGAGAGGCGATTAACGGATTAAGGGTTTGGCTTGATTTTGATTTCAAAATGGGTTAAGAATGATGGGTCTGGGTCACTGGGTCCGAGTCGGTAAACGTAAACGGGTTATGGGCTGTGGTTACTTGGGTTGGGCTTCCATCTGGATTGTTACTTGTTAACTAGGCTTTCAAAAATATATATATATATATATATTATTTGGGCCTAGAGGAGCCCAAAAGTTTAGTGCGGGCAGATGACCTAATGGGGCTCCGCCCCTACAAACTATTAGACCACCATACAACCGAAAAGCCCCCACTTCCCTCTACATATACCACCCATGTCCAACCTTGAAACCTTCATGCCAATAGATTTGTTCGGAATTGCAAGCTAAAATACCCAACTCGCGAATGTAAGTACTGACGGCATTACTTGTTCCGGAGAGACCCATTTTATTTCTAACATACCAATCGACTATACTCACTAGAATGCCTCTCTTCATGGTCTTAAAATATCAATAGATGGTTCAGCGATATGGAGGTTCGACGATTTAGACGATAGTTGGTCGGAGTTTTTTCACTTAACATGGCAGTCCTATTTGGAAAAGAAGAGGAGAGAGAGAGAGAGAGAGAGATTTTTTTATTTTTAATATTTTAATAAGGCCTAATAGTTAAAAACATACCTACGTTTGACACTTCTTGTGAAAAATGGTCGTACGTTTCAATTTTTTTGCGTTTTCATCCCTATTTTCACGTTTTATTATGAAAAACGTCATTTTCACCAATTTAAAACATAGTGACGTTTTTCACAGTATAAGTCAAACATATGGACATTTTGTACTATTAGACCGTTTAATAATTATTTGGACTCACTTGCACATTTTAAAACATTTAAGAATAAGATTGTAATTTATTCTTTATTTTTCTTTTTTCTTTTTGTTTTATTTAAATGGGAGGGTATTTTGATCATTTTACATTAAAAATGGTGAAAATAACGTTTTCTACAATGAAACATTAAAATAAGGGCAAAAATGTCAAAAAATGAAAATTAATGAAATTTTGCACGATAACATTGAAATGTTGGGACCTTTTGCGCTAATTACACCTCACATAAATATTGGTATCACATATATTGATGTATTCAGGCAGGGCGGTGGAGTGGTCTAATGCTTTAATTTTAATATTTATTGGGAACTTAATCAATCTAATTCAAAGTATTCATGAACGTACCTATATACATCTAATAGAGACTTGAAACTTAATTTTTAGTATTTTTCATCTTTCCCAAGTCCTAAGCATGCATAGAAAATGATGCTTCTAGCTAACGTTTGCCCAACATCTATTGGTTTGTGTTAATCTCAATATTAACATAATTGAAAAATGTTATTCAATCACATTGTTTGACACAAATAATGCCGAGCTCTCATGTGTGTGTGATGTGTCAACCCTTGTGTCAACCGATGTGGTCATGTAGCACAGCCCAACATAATTAATTAGTCTTATGCATTCATTTCATAGCAACGAAGTTGGTATATTTATGTAGTTGAGATTAATGTTGAATTCCAATGGAGGAGAAACGATAAATTTATTTTTTTTAAGAATAAATTTTGTAAGAGATTTTTTTAGGAAAATATGTAGTTATACAGTAGGGGGAAAAATTATTTATATATAAAATTATTTTATGTGTCGTTTAAAATGTATTTTAAAAAATAAGGTCAAGTAAGAGGTTAATAAAACGTGGCAGCAGGACTATGGACCAGCCAACACTCAGGCTACGTGGACTATGTTGGACAACTTGGTCGCCTACTACATAGAAAAAAGGGAAGAATTCATAAACCATGTATTAACTATGCACAATTCAAAGACCATGTTTTAAGTTTAACTAATGCAAAAATCAGGTTTTTATTTAATTAATTAAATATATTTATTAATTAAATATAATAAAATCACAAATATACAATTAATGGTCACGTTTACACAATTATAAGTCAGAGATTTATTCATTGATCACATATCATCAAATTAATTGGTCACGGATTATTTTGAGGTCACGAATCAAAGTTTTTATAGGTCACAGATTTTTTCGAAGTCACATATCACAGTTTATCTATCGATTTTATAGATCACAATTCATGTCATTGGTCACAAATTAAAAATTTTGTAGGTCACAGATAATTTCGAGATCACATATCAAAAATTGTATAGGTCACAGGTCACATATTTTCAAATTTGATGGTCACATATTACTTTTAAATAACAATTGTTCGAATTTTAAGGTCACAGATTACAGTCACGGGACCAAACTGATCACAGACACCCAATCCCGAGCCACCCTCACTCGGCACCACCACCAATGCCAACAAAATCCCCACTAACTCCCGTTACTGCTGCCACCGCCACCACCACCAACACCAACACCAACAAAATCACCCACGACAACCACAGCCACTCCCACTTGCACCACCACCAGCATCTCCAGTCTCCACTACCCCAACACCGCACAACCACCACAACGATAGCATCAACATTGCTGAACGTACCACACACATTACCAGCAACATCACCACACATACCACCACAGCCAGATCACACAAACTCGCCACTAATCCTGTCAAAATATACCGCACCACCACCAACGCCATCAACACCTCACCTGCGACTGTTAACATTTAATGTCCGGTAACAGATCGCAATTGGTCACGATTCTCGCAACAAAATCGCCTTTCTACGCTCTGCAAAAACCGGTCGCCATATTCAATATGAAAAGCGGCGACGGCAGCGATTCTCCTCCGGGCGTGAGAAGAGTGTCGCTGCACCACCAGACCGCCTCTTGCCATTTCCTATCTTAAATGTCATCGTGCGAGAGTATAGTGCTGTGTCGCGCGACTCCGCTGCGAGGTGACAATCGGCCTGCCGGCGCCGCCACCATTGTTGAGAGAGGAAAGAAAAGGGAAAATAGATCATTTGCCCCATTATCTCCGGCGGCGATCGCCTCCTTGACGGCGACGGCAGTGAAGGCAGAGAGAGACGAGAGAGAGGGAAGAAAATTGGGGATATGTTTAGGGTTTTTAATTGGGGATAGATTAATTATATAGAAAACCTGATTTTTGCACAGGTAATCTTCAACCCTGGATTTAGAATTTGGAAGTTTAAACACCTGTAGGGGTGTAATTTTCCTTTGAAAAAAGGACACAAAAATTATAAGGAAAACTTACATAAATACTCGTGAAATTAGAGGTCTTTTAAAAAAATTATTTAAAAAATATTTTGAAAGTAAAAAATACTGTGTTAAATTAGGTGTCACTTTTTAAAAAGTGACATTATAAGTGACACAATGACACTTCTTGAAGTTAAGTATCCTTTTTTATTAAATGCACATCACTTTTTAATAAAAGTAAAAGAAATTTCAAGAAAGTAACAGAAAATTTTAAAAATGAGGAACACTAAAAAGAAACGGAAATTCAAATGGTAACAAACACTCAAAATAGTGATAAAAATTAAATAAAAAAAGCAACAAAACACCAATTAAAACATTGGAATCGGTTCAAAGTGACAGGGAAAAAAAGTAAAACAACCACCGTCCCTCCACTTCTTTGTTCACCACCCAATATATTAAGTCAATTCAAACTACCGTCATCTACCAACTCAATCAACCCATTAACTTCCACTTAATGAAGATCCCAACAGGAGAATAATTATTTTTTTAATTTTTTTTAATTTCTGTTGCCAGAAGAAGCTAACCTCCCCCCCCCCTCCCCATCTCTCTGTACACACAATCATCACGTTACAAAATGCCTAGTGTGTATACACCACCATCTCCACCGTCACTGCTCATCAATGCTGACAATAGTTTCGCCATGCCCAACTATACCCAACAGCTCCTGTACAGACGCCTCATCATCATCATCATTATCTAAATCTTCTAATTCTTCATCAATTAGTATGGTAATTGTTGTAATCGCCTCCACCATTATTGTCTCGTTGTTCATTTACCTCTTCAAAAAAGTGACAAAAATTTTAAAGTGTCAAAAATTCAAAAAATAACAAACACAAGTCAAACACTTAAAATAGACCCAAGAGATAAGTTAATCTTCTTTTGCACGTTGTCTCTTTGTAATTATACTTTATTTTATTAATTAAACTTATAACGTAACTTCATTTTAAGAATACAATAATCTATAGTTGGAAGTGGCAGAAATTCTAAAAAGTGAAAAATACTTAAAAAAGTGACAAAACACAAGACTCACACTTGAAGAGAAAATTGGGCAGTGACTCAAATTGATAGAGAGGTTGCATCCCCAACATGATAACACTTTAAGCCAACATAACATGATGGATGACCCTGGAAAAGTGAGTTCTATTGAAATTAAAGTATATGTTATATCGGGGAGGGAGCCAAAAAAGATATATTATGGTGGTCTGAAATTTAATTTTTTATTTTTTCCAATAAACTCATACCATAAAATACGTACCATAAAATACGTTCTATTTCATACGAGATTTAGTTTAAAAAGTTAACTCATGACACTCGTGATAAAGTCCGTCGGAATATATTTTTGGACACTCACGATAAAGTTCTAACAAATATGTTTTTAACTAATAAAATTAAATACAGAACGCATTACTTATTTTGATAATAACTTCTGTTTCATGATTAAAATAAATAATTTTTTAACTCACAAGTATAGTTAAGTAATATATGAAAAAATAAATTAGAAAAATTTTAATTACTTTTAAGATTAATCAAACTTGTAGTATCTCATATTATTAGAATAAGTCAATTATCTTTACTTTAATCAATAAAAGTTATTTTTTATAGAATAAACTAATTCGATTATAAGTGAATTCTTTAAACTTAGTTAAATATATATGAAATAAAATATCTAATTTGATAATACGTTATTTGTGTATCATGAATGTGAATAAAATAAATATGTAATTGTTATAGAGTCTTAAATTTTATTTGAATAATTAAACATTGGGTTTGGATTGGGAATGAAGTTAGTTAGGCTAAATTTAATTTCTGGGCCGGGCTAAATCTCTTATTCTTTTATTTCATCATGAATTTAGGCTAAATTTTCCATTTTTTAGAAGCCAATTTGCTTTTGGGCTAGGACAGCGCTGGCCCATAGCCCAGTCCAACACCCCCCCCCCCCCACCCCCT